GTGAAGAGGTAAAGAGAGGAATCAGAGCTTGTGGAGGAGAAGTAAATGTCAGGGATAACCCTGAGGTTTGTCTTGAGCAAGTGAGTAGATTATTCCATGTAATGAGACGGAGAACACTGGAAAAGAGGCACATTTGGGGAAAGGAAGAATTGGGACCCCAATAATTGGGTCTTGGACATGTCATAGCTAAGATGCTCATGAGGCATCACAGCAGATGTATTAAGTAATTGATTGAGTCATGTGAATCTGTAGCTTACAAGAAATTGGGGCTGAAAATTTGAGTCTGGAAGATTCAAATTCAGAGGACATGCAAAGCCTATGAATGAATGAGCTCACTTAGGAAAATAGAACATAAGATAAAGATTCAAAGGACCTCAACATGAAGGAAACTAAGAAGCAGAAGCAAAAGAGTGAAAGGGAGATGGTGCTATCATAGAAGCTAAGGAAAAGAAAATTCCAGAAGACAAAAGTATTGAATGCTACTGAGATTTCAAGTAAGTTACTAACAGAAGACTGTCCACTGGACTTTTAAAAAGGTGGTTATCAAGCAACATAATGTTCATACAACATGTAAAATTTTTTTTTAAGAAATAAGTGTCAAAAAGGTAGTTTCTATTAAAGCCACAAATGGTGGCACATGCCTGTAATCCCAGAGACTGGGGAGGCTGAGGCAAGAGGGTTGCAAATTCAAAGCCAGCCACAGCAAAAGCAAGGCACTAAGCAACTTCATAAGACCCTGTGTCTAAATAAAATACAAAATAGGGATGGGGATGTGGCTCAGTGGTTGAGTGCCCCTGAGTTCAATCCCCAGAACTGTCCCCCACCCCGCCAAGCCAAAATATGCTTAAAATGATGAGTTTTGTTTTTGTTTTTATTTTCCAACATGTATTCACTTTGGTGAGCTGTAAACTTCTTAAGACCGGGGAATATTTCTCTTATTCCCTGGATATCCAAGATTTTAACACATTTTGCAGTTCATGGTAAAGTTTAGTGATATCTGTTAAGTAAATGAATAAAAATGAATAAATTAGGATTTAGAGAATATCTTGGTCAACTAATTTTGGGGAATTTATAAAGTCGGGTGTAGAAAACATTTGTGACATTGGAATTTAATTTATTCAGGACAATTAGGCTGTCATGCACTGTCACTGTCAGGGAGACACTTTGGGCTGAAAAAAAAAACAGTCTCTTTGCTGCCCTTTTTAAAAAAAAAAAAGAATTCAACTGTGAATGTAATCTCCTTGAATCTTGCCACTTCTCTTTATCTTCAGTGCTGTTGCCTTAATTCTGGTCCTTTTTATTTCTCATTTGTTCTAACAATTTTTTTTTTCCTTCAACTCGCAGCTGGATTAAGCCCTTTAAGTGCTCTGGGTGCTGCAGCCTTCTTGTTGCTGTCTATAAATCAAAACCAAAATAATACCAAACTATAAAACACAAAGCTTATGAATATACTAATAATGAAATGAAAGGACTTTCTTCTCCGTTTCACTGCTTGTAAAATCCTGGATAAATCATGCAGTCAACACTTGCTCATTCACCCCTGCATTATTGGCAACCTAGGAGTGAGCCTAACCTGCCTGCTGAGAGATCCCTTGCTCCTCCAGGGCTGCCTCTCTCCAGTTCACCATCTTCCAGAGTGATCTGAAAATGCAGACGTGATTATTTCACATGAAATCTGTCCTTGGCTTCTCATGACCATAGGACAGAGTTCATCTCCTATCCTGGCTTACAAGATTCTCAGTTTTATGACCTCCGGAAACAACTCCATCTCCTCTGTTGCCACAGTCACCTGTGCTCCACTGCCTAGGTATTTTGTAGTTCTCTGAATCCTTGTGGGCTCCTACAGATCCACACGTTTGCATAGGCTGATATATCTTCCTGTAATATCTTCACTCACCAAATTCCTCCATCTTTTTAGATTTAGCTAAATGCCACTTGATCTTCCTGTCCTCCACCAGGTCTTGGTTAGATGGGCCCTTTGTGCTGCCAGAGCACATTCTCTTTGTTGCCCAATCTACCCACTGCCTTGAAACTGACCTCTCTCTTTCTCACAGGACCCTTCCCAAAAAATGATGGCCAGGATTTATCGACCTTTTAATGAACTCTACATGGATTGTCTAATTTAATTCTCACAATCTGGCCAACTGGTACTATTATTATTTAAATTTCACTTGATAAATTGAAGACCAGGTGACTACCAAGAATTAAAACTGAAGGCTCTAATGCTCGAATGCATACTGGTGTGTGTGTGTGTGTGTGTGTGTGTGTGTGTATATATTTAGATGGACATAGTAACTTTATTTTGTTTATTTGTTTTTTTATGTGGTGCTAAAGATTGAACCCAGTGCCTCACCTGTGTGAGGCAAGCACTCTACCACTGAGCTACAACCCCAGCCCTGGGATACATACTCTTAACCATAAGATTGCGAGCCTCCTGAATACAAAGAGTCAACCTCATTCACTGGCATCCCTAGATTTTTGCAAGAGGCCCAGAACAATGAGAATAGTTGGTAAATGTTTATTATACAAAATGAATGAATTTATCTACAAAAACTTATTTCTGCTATCTCCTAACAATGCTAAGAAAATTAGATTATGTGTATTTTTGTTTTATTTTGTTTCCACAGTGTTCTAATAAGAGAGTTTAAAAAATAAAACAAGGAATGAAGCACAAATTGGAAGAATGGAAACACTGGAAGGAATTCCATATGAATGAGGAATTAGATTTGTATGGTGTCATGTTGAAAGCTTGAATTGGGGCCAAGAAAGCATCAGGAGAAACAACTATTACTACTGGGAATAAAAACATTCTAACTTTTAAGCTATTGACCAATAAAGTGATGAGGTCCCCCTTTCAGGAAGTGCACAAACAAAAGTTGAAGGACAATTTGGTGGGATGTTGCAGAAGAATTTCAATGATATAATGAGGCACCTTATTGGCTTTGAAGCTCTTTCTCATCCAGAATCTTAGGAATCTATGAAGTTGGAGAGGGGGGAAAGGGGGAAGAAAAGAACGCAAATCAAAACAGATGAGGTTATATGTTTTAATTTTCCTGTTGGTGTAAATGAGAGTCTCTGTTTATGGAGGAACCCATTTGTTGGGCTTTATGTTAAATTAAAAGGAGCAGGCAGATGGGAATAAGCTAATTGAAAAAAAAAATTACTATTTTCTCTCCAGGGGACATCCTGCCATGCTCCTCCTTTACTCTTGAGACTCCTCATTTCCATCACTTATGTTGGAGGTTTCCCGCCTCTATATGACGGGTTTCCCTGAAATGTGAACACAGAGAAATAGAAATAGGCATTCTCTCAAATGGGTGTCTTTTGAGAGCAGAAGAGAGAGGCAGAGAGAAATTGCTTCAATAGAGGAGAGATGGACGATGGGAAGAAGATCTCACTGCCTGGTGGGACAAAGCTTTGTGAATAAATTCTCCACTTCCATGGAGGACACAGACTTAGAGAGGATGATTCAAAGCCTGAAGGCAGACGGTGAGCAACTCCACAAATTTCTAGGGTTCTAGGTTTTCCTGGGTTTGTGGGATAAAATGAAAAAAAAAAAGAAAGAAAGAAAGAAAAGGAAACACAAGGAGAGACACAGAGTAAAGAAATAGCATCTAGTGCAAACATCACAGTTTTGGCTTGTTGCAGAAACCAAGCCTAGAAGTGGAGTGCAAGGTTATGAACATGACAGAGAAGGCAGTGTTAGGGGATACTGGAGTATCCAACGGCAGCGCCCCAGCCTCAGCAGCAGGAGGGGTGATGCAGGCATGAATAAGATTATCAAGGGGTATTTGTGATAGTCTTCTAATACCAAGGGGTAGGGGATGGAACCTGACATTCTAGTAACTACAGCTGTGGCTGACTGAAGAAATGACTCTTTGCTATCATCTCCTTCCTGAAACTGATTAGTACTCCCTTTAGATTTTACTCAAACTCTCGAAGGGGAGAAATCCTACCTTGTTTATATTTGTTTCCCTGGATTACAGTGCCTGGGACACCATGTGTTAGTAAATAAGTGTTTCTGAATGATTGATTGAATGTATAAATAAATACATGAAAAGTAAACATTAATTTCTTTGTGAGCAACTTTAGTAGGCACTGGATTGAGTAGGAGATAGAAACTACAAATGAGGAAGAGAGCATCTGCGTTCCTAAAGAGGCTTTTTTGCCAAGTGGAGATGCTAGAGAAGCAACAGTTAACACAGTGGAATCAAGGTTGATGGAGGGCGAGGAAGTGCTAAGCTTAGACTGACTCTAATGCTGTTTGCTTCCAATTCCATAGAAGTATATTGGTATTTTGATACTTAAGGGTCTTTTCTCTCTCTCTCTTTTGTACTTTTTGATTGTTGATAAAAATTGATTGGCATTTTGAGTAATTTAGAAAATGTTAAAAGGCAGGATAAATATAAATCATAAGCTTACCACTCTGGCAACTTTTTATTACTATTTTGACATATTGCTTTCTAAATTTTCCTTTGAACATGTTCTACATATGGAGATCATATTACACCTAGAATGTTATCTTATTTTTCTCCCTCCCCCATTTACTATGTCATTAAAATATTCTTTCCAAGCATGACAAGGAACTTTCTTAGTTTTCTTTCTGTGTCAGTATCATGGCTCACTCAATAATACTCTTTCTGTTGGACACCTGGGTTTTTCAAATTTTTAATACTGTAAATAAATGCTGTACATTTCAGATGAGATTCACTGAAAATTAATTTCCAGACAAAGATGAGAAGATATTTTTAGAGTATTTTGTGTGCCTTGATAAATCGCTTTTCAGAATGCTTGAACCAATTTCCACCCATTACTGACTCTGTGTGCAAGTGTCTGCCTTACCATGGTACATAGGCATTTTGACCTTCCGTCTTGGCACAGGGTTGATGTCAGAGAATCCTTCCCAGCTCTCTAGTCAGGAGAGAAATCCGTTTAAATAGTTATATTTGAATGATGCTATACCACTTTTTCATATTAAATTAGTAAAACATTAATATAGAGTTCTCACTTTGGTAGCACATATACTAAGATTGGGATGTTACAGAGAAATTAGCATAGCCCCTGAGAGGATAACATGCAAATTCATGCAGCATTCAATATTTTCACAAACCTAATAACCAAATTATGCTATATGCATGTATGACTACACCATGATACCTTCAACTTTTACATACAACTATAATGCACCAATAAAAATAAATACATAAGTACAAGGAAGACCAGTAGAGTAGAGGAAAAGGATCAGGAGGAGATGGAAAGAGGAAGTATTGAAGACTGAAATGGCGCATTTATGACTATGTCAAAATGAATCCCACTATTACGTAAAACTATAATTCACTAATAAAAAATTAGAAGAAAAACAAACAAAACACAAACCCACATAAAGTGGCAGAGACAAGCCTTGAGATGGCGACTATTGACATTGTTGATGGCAGGATGAATTGATGTAACGCTTTCAGAAAGGTAATTTGGAAATACTCTTTTAAAAAGATCAATGGCCATATAATTTCAGGTCTGAAAATACTTCTCAAGGAGCCAATCCCAAGGAAAAACAGTTCTTTTCATCAATAAAAAATGTTAAGCTCCCTCAATGTATGTGGTATGTAGGGAAAATATTTGAGTCAATTGTGGCATATCTACATAACGAACTTGAGATGCATTTACCTCAAAAGACCATAAAATTTTTGTGGAAACATGAGAACACAATAAATTTTGACTGCATTTAATTAGGATTATACAATAACCATGGCATTATATGGATAAGATGGAAAAAGTTCAAAAATAGAGACATTGACTCTTTTGGTGAGTACAGAGGTAGACGTGGCATTATAAGGTAGTTTTTCTGAACTTATTTTGTCTTGATTTGTTCTCCCTTTCTTTCCAGCTCTCCGAGGCAGCTGTTTTCTTTTTTGTCCCATAGCAAAATGGTGTATAACGGGCTCCTTAACTAAAAGGCATAGAGTGGATGTGTTCAGGGTGAGACCAAGGTCACAAGTAACATGAGATCTTTACATATGACCTCAACCTGGGAGAGCCAAGGAAGTCATACAGCAGTTTGTTTTCCAAGTTTTAAAAACACTCACCAGTCCAGTCAGTGGAAGGAGGATTGCTACAGGCTCCGAAGAACTTCACAAAGATTGGAAAGAATGTGTTTGGCAAAGGAATCCCTGGCCTGAGCTGCTGATTTTTAGGCAGAGAAAAGGAAATCCCAGATAAAACTGCAAAAGCAGATGTCACAGAAGGACAATAGATTTGAGAGAAAGAAGGAACATGGTGTGAAGTATCACAGGAACTCTCAGATAAAAATATATTCAGGAACAAATCTCACAGCCATCCCTCCCTCCATGGGTACAGGACAACAGGTTCAGGATAGGGTTCAGTGAAGGGAAGAAAGTAAGTGTGAAATTATCAAATCAAATATCATAGGTATCAGTGCAATATGGCCGGGTGGGCTCAAGGGTGAAGAATGATAATTGAAAGTTCAATACATTTAACAGAACAATACATACAGAAAACATGGGAGGGGAAATGAAGTAGTAGGGTCCGTTTGGACAATAATGACTTGTAAGGTAATCTTGAGTCTGAAGTAGGGTGAAATGAAAGATAAAAGGACAGTGAGATCAATGTGATATTATCAAAGTATTATAGCACCAACCACCTGATCAGAGGGAGGAAATCCATGATGATCCTTCAGATATACACAAATGTACATCTGATGTACAGCTGACCCAGGACTCAAGAACTTAGATCATTGCCCATGTCCTCTAAGACTCTTCATTAAAAAAAAAAAAAAATCCACTGCATTATATTTATTTGTAAGTGTCTTTGACAACATCACCTTCTAAAAGGTTAAGGGGATCAACAGAGAACAGAAAAATTTCAGCCTTAATTGGGGACAAGAAGGAAAACATTGATACCAAAGTGGATTTGGTAAAGAATAGGGAAAAGTAGCTGTGTAAGTACACTGGATATAGTCATAAGGCCTAGATTTGAAAATAGCTTTAGGAAAAGTTTTAAAAGTAGAATTTGTCATCTAAGAAATGGGAAAGTCAAAGAACAAATTGTTTTCTCCAGATTAAAATGGAAACTGGTTACCAGTTTTGACCTACAGTATCCCAAATGCTTACTATAAACCTCATGAAAAATAGAGTAGACAAAGACTCACCAAAAATAAACCAATAAGTAAAAATTATGGGTAGTATATTTCTGGAATCTCATAGAAATTTTACTCATACAACAGCTTTTGGATCTGGATGAGGAGAGGGAAATTGGCAGACCATTCCTGGGTGACCTCACAGAAAGACAGAAAGAAGGCAAAATGTCACACTGTTCATTGCACAATCTGCCTCCCTGCCCAGAGATGCAGAGATGGATCATGTAGAAGTTAAACACTTGTATTCACAGACAAGTGAAACCCCAGGTTACTGTCTTATCATTTGGTCAAGCCATTAACTTTCCTAAGCCTTATTTTCATAATCTCCAAAATGAGATGCATATAGTACCTGCCTCACAGATTAGCGAGGAAAACAAAATTAGAAGTGCTAATTCATGCAAAGCACCAGGCCCAATGCCTGAAACTCAGTAAGCATTCAGTAAGTATTTATTTATTTTACTCTATCCTTTTGGAAACTGGATTTTCCAGGGAACAGGAAGTTTCCCAAGGTAGTGAAAAGGAGGTAGTAGGAGGAAGGACAAGGGCACTTAATACCCTAGGAAATAGTGTCTCTTCCAACAATGTAGTGAGGAGAGCAAAGAGGAAAATCAGGGCATCCGAAGCACCACAACCTTACAGAGAAGTAGCGGGCGGAAAAGAAAAAGGACTCCCCTCAACAGATCTGCGCCAGGCAACAGCATGCAGCATGGAGGGTCCTGGCTGGGTTTGATGCTTGTCAATCCAATCAAGGCTGGGGATGTGGCTAAAGTGGTAGCGCGCTCCCCTGGCATGCGTGCGGCCCAGGTTCGATCCTCAGCACCACATACAAAGATGTTGTGTCTGCCAAAAACTAAAAAATAAATATTAAAATTCTCTCTCTCTCTCTCTCTCTCTCTAAAAAGAAAAGAAAAGAAAAGAAAAAGGCTTGACAGGTAAAACGCAAGGAGCCCCATTACGTTTTAAAATAGCCTAAATTCTCATACCATATTTGGAACATACTTATACTAAAAAATCCATTGTTTATACAAAATTCAAATTTGACTGGGCATCCTGTATTTGTATTTGCTAAATCTGGCAACCCTAATTTAACCTCTGGCTGCAGTTAGGAGGAAGTTTGACTTGCAAAGAAATAGAAAGTGAATGAAGCCACAGGAAATGCACACACCCTGACCCTTGGTAGAGACTGATTGAGTATGGATCTCTGCTTCTCTTTGAATAAGTAGAAAGACACAATGCCATCAATTAAAAACTTATCAAGAGTTCAGCAAGAGAAGGGAAAAAATAAATTGTGAAAATTCATTCCGTAGGACCTTGAACATATGAACTACAGAAAACAGGGGGAAAGTGTAGAAAACGGTTAGCATTCCAGGAAGTATTGCATTCTGAGAGAGGAAGACATTAAAGGGAGAGAAATTTACAAAGTTAACAAAATGAGATGTAATAGATAACCTTAGAAGAAAAGGCATTCAAGGCAGCATTACAAAGAGTGAAAATGTGAATAGCAAAATCTAAATAGTTTTTGAGGCAGTAAGAAGAGCTGATGCTGCAGTAAAGGAAATCATGAAATGGAGTTGAAACTGGGAAAGTATTTCTATCCTTGGAGTAAAAGATTGAAGAGGTGAAATTATGAAGAGAACAGCATAGACATGAGACAAAGAATGGAGATCAATCTCAAGCTACATGAAATGAGAACAATTACAGTATATGCAAAAGCAAATCATTAATGCAAACTTTATAAAGGCTGAAAAAAGAGGGAGGGAAAAAGTGGTCTAGGAAGTGCTGATAGAGTACTCAGGATGGACTAGGCTTCCTTCCTTGGCACCTTATCTCTGTTAATTTTTTAAGACTCTCGAGTGTCTATGAAGCAGCTACTATGTTAGCTCCATTTCACAAATAGGAAAACTGAAAGATTGAGATTTTGTTCATCTTGGTTTTTATTTTTTATTTTTCAGATTTCGTTCAAGGTCACAGACCTAGTGAAGGAAAAAGCTGGGATTGAACCCAGACCTTCTGGGTCTTACTGAATGCTCTTGACCTCAAAGTTGCATGGTATCTAGAAAGAGGACTACCTTTTGCATATGCAGATTTTAGGCTTCACTTTATCACATCAGGCAACATCAATGAAGAGAGAGCCATACCCAAAAACTTCACTGCAAATACTTAAATATTTAATAGAGAAAGAAAAATGTTATAAGCATTCAGGCTGTAAATAAAACAGAACTGAACGAAAGAAGTTATTTACAGAGGAACAACCATCAGACCAACCTGAGACTTCTCTATAATGCTAAATGTCAAAAGACAAGGAGACCATTTTGCAGAGTTTTGAAGAAACCTGGTTACGAGCCAAATTGTATAACCAACCACATGGTGCCTCCCTCATATGTGAAGCCAACAGCATTTGGCCATTCCATGCTGTGAGTGGGTTCGGATCATACCATCACACATGCTCCTTGAAGGAGTTAGCTGGAGATACATACCTATTCTAAATGATCAGAAGAGTAATCAAAGTTAAAAGTCTGGGGAATTTGTGGCAGCTGGGGGCTAACAATGAGTACAAAGGTAGGTCGGCACAGAATACAGAGTCATGGAGTCTGATCTAAAGTGAGTGTCAAAAAATATTGTTTCGAAACTGAATGCAAATGTCAATTAAAATTCTGGACATGGAAGATATATGATACACAAAAGAATAATTTAATAAACACAGTCTGGTGTGCCAAATCCCAAATTATATTTTAAGACTGAGAAGTGGGAAGTGGGAAGAAAACTCTAACTAGATTCCTCCTCTGAACTGCTGGGTTGTAGAGACATATCAGAGTGTCTAGTTTCATTTCTAACTTTGAGATTTAAAGAGACAGGAGTTGATGTGCGCTGATTTGACCCTTATAAACCTCGTCTCACACAAAGATCTCGTTAGCTTTCTGTGCTCCAGCTACAGTGTGTGTGTGTGTTTT